TAAACGTTGAAAAAAAAAATTTAAAAGCTATTGTCAGTAATGATGCTATAAACATTGGGGTGCATGTGCCCCTTTGAATCTAAAAAAGATTAATTTCTAATTGTACATGATATTGTCATGATCTTCGCCTTCAGTCAGTACATTAAAGATTCCAGTTTTCATAACAGGAACTTTGGGCTCTTTAGGAATACTTCTGATAACCATAGTTAAGAAAATTTCTGGATGGTAAGACATGACTCTTACCTCCTTTCCCTTTTCCTGAGCTAGATTCTTGAAGTTTCATTCTTTTCAGGATAGAAGGAATCTTGAACTTCCATAACGTTATCAATGTGATAGTTAATTGAGCCTTAAATAGTGTGCTTGATTATATATGGTTAGTGCTCATATTTTCCATAATTGTATGACATGTCTTTTCTTTCAACATTCTTTTTTAAACTTACTAACAGTGTTTTTTGTGGCCAAAATCATTGTCATGATGCATAAAATAGAAACTAGTTTGCACAATAAATGAACTTGTCCAATACATTTACATACATTCATAATCAAAAGAGTTCAGGTGAGTTGCCTATGTTGTATGTATTTTGTGAAGATGAAGCTATACGAATTCTATATAAATTTACCAAATACCCACCACATATCAGTGTGTTATTTCAAACTTTTATATTAATATTGATTCAAACTTTCTGTATTTTAGTCTTCTCATTATTCTTTTATTAAATAATTATACATATTTCATATGCAAATATGAATTTCAAATTGATAACATTTCTAAGTATTTAAAAGTACAAACTGTAGAGAGAGCCAAAGCATAAGACACTCTTAAAAACTGAGAACAAACTGTGGGTTGATGGGGGGTGGGAGGGAGGGGAGGGTAGGTGATGGGTATTGAGGAGGTCACCTTTTGAGATGAGCACTGGGTGTTGTATGGAAACCAATTTGACAATAAATTTCATATATTGGAAAAAAGAAGTACATACTGTAACTCTATTTCTCAGTAAATTCTAATTATTTTTTTTAATTTAATAGTTTTTTAATTTTTTAATTTAATAGTTTTTAATTTTTTTTAATTTTTTTAATTTTAATTTTTTAATTTAATAGTTTTCAATCTTTAATTGTTTTTCTAATAAATACAAGCATGAGGCCCACACTTGTTTGTGTTAGAGATGATACCAATTAAGGTAAAGGGTAAATTTAATGTATATAGAACAACTACAAAAATACAAAAAAAATACGTCTTAATTTCATTTTTGTTGCTAAAAGAGGAAAAAGTCCACTAAAAAGACACAAACACCTCTAAATTCAAGTCTTTCATGTATTGGTGGACGCTAAGCTAAATTTCCATTGGAGCAATAAAATGTACAGCTGGGGCCCCTGGCAAATTTCTTCTCTGTCAGGATGATTGGCTACAGACCATCCTCCATACTGGATACAATTCTCCCTTTAGGTTCAAAATGGGGCAACCTCTATCTCGTACCTATTGGCACATGTCTCACAGACAATGTGCCAAATATTTTACTCACAGTCTCATTTAATTCTGGTCTACCCCTTCTAAATACATATTGTTATCCCATCTTATGGATTAGGAAACTGAGGCCAGAAGATAGTCACCCAAGTTCACATATGCAGTAAGTGGTGGAAACAGACCTCTAGGTCAGCCGGAGTCCAAAGCCCAAGCTCTCCGACAACAACATTTCACCATCAGAAAAGGAAATGTGTCAACTCACAAAACTTACCTAACATGATCAACTTCATTCTTTTAAAAAAAATTTTTTTTCCAACGTTTATTTATTTTTGGGACAGAGAGAGACAGAGCATGAACGGGGGAGGGGCAGAGAGAGGGAGACACAGAATCGGAAACAGGCTCCAGGCTCTGAGCCATCAGCCCAGAGCCTGACGCGGGGCTCGAACTCACGGACAGCGAGATCGTGACCTGGTTGAAGTCGGACACTTAACCGACTGCGCCACCCAGGCGCCCCATGATCAACTTCATTCTTGGGCCAAATGGGCTTTCATGACAATTACACATGTTGTATGTGAGCATTTTATTATAGTCCACATGGACACAAAGTCAGACGCTATTACAGTATTTGCACAATGTTGTCTATGCTGACCTTTACCATAAGAATTGATATTAAAATCTCTCCTAAGATTTCCACATCTAAGCCCCATCCCAATCCTCTTTTTTCTAAACATTCTTAAATATTATTCCAATTTGATTGTTTCTTGCCTTCTTTCTTTTATCTTGAAAAAATTGCCATCTTCTGTTACTTACCTATGAAAACAAATGTTGTTCCATCACTAAAAAGTTTTACAAAATAATTCCATAGGGGTACCTGGTAGCTCAGTTACTTAAGCGTCGGACTCTTGATTTCGATTCAGGTCATGGGATTAAGTCCCACGTCGGGCTTTGCCCTGACAGTGCAGAGCCTGCTTGGGATCCTCATTCTCCCTTGCTCTCTATCCCTTCCCCACTCTCTCTCAAAATAAATAAATAAACCTTAAAAATAGAATAAAATAATTTCACAGTGATTCCACCCATATCAAATCTTTAGTGGATTTATCTTCTCTGAGTTCTTTGAATTCAGTGAACTATGATGGCCTCCACTTGAAGAGACCAGGATTCAGATTCTGATTCATTTGGGGTTTTTTATTTGTTTGTTTAATGTTTATTTATTTTTGAGAAAGAGAGAGAGAAAGAGAGCCCATGAACAGGGGAGGGGCAGAAAAAGAGGGAGACAGAGGATCCGAAGCTGGCTCCAAGTTGACAGTAGAGAGTCCGATTGGGGCTTGAACTCACAAACAATGAAATCATGACCTGAGCCAAGTTAGATGCTTACCTGACTGGACCACCCAGGTGCCCCCTGATTCATTTTGGTTATAACAAGTTCTGTGGATGAACAAATCAGGTAAATTAAAATCTTTGCTACTTTGTTCATTTTAAAATGATGATGTTAGTGTGGATCAATTCAACACTCCACCAGGTGCTGAAGCGAGTCGAATATGAAACAAGAGGGGCGCCTGGGTGGCGCAGTCGGTTAAGCGTCCGACTTCAGCCAGGTCACGATCTCGCTGTCCGTGAGTTTGAGCCCCGCGTCAGGTTCTGGGCTGATGGCTCAGAGCCTGGAGCCTGTTTCCGATTCTGTGTCTCCCTCTCTCTCTGCCCCTCCCCCGTTCATGCTCTGTCTCTCTCTGTCCCAAAAATAAATAAATGTTGAAAAAAAAATTTTTAATTAAAAAAAAAAAAAGAAACAAGATCTGGAAAGCAATATGATCAAACCTGCTATAGCACGGGGAGATTATAATTGCTACCATTATTAATAACAATTGTTTGTGTTGATTGTGTGCTCCAACATATTTTAATCTCATGGGACCAAACCTTCCCTTACTAATGGGAAGACACTATTTGGGGATGCCAATTAGATCTATACCAATGAAACATGGAGACTCATTCCTTCATTTGCACCCCAGGTTGCTCTGCTATGTCTGGAATTCACTAAGCCATCACCATTGGAAATGTAACTTTGACACACCAGTTAATAGGCAATCACTTGTCTTGTCCACTGCATTTCCAGTGTTCAAAAAGTCAAAGGGAACATTGGCTAAAGCCTAGTAATATGGGGTCAGTTCATGGAAATGCTTCACCTGTGTGGTCCAAAGCAAATGACTCTTTTCCCACCACTGGCATAATCTATGTGCTTTCCAAGCTTTCACCAGAAATTTCTACCTCAAACTGACTTCCTTCCAGATCATGCCCAAAGTTTGGCTTGAATCTCCCACAGTGGGCCTTCATGGCCAAATGACCAGATCAATGGCTGGTTGCCCAGTCCTCCAAACCTCCTATTGTCACGTTAGATCCCTAGGCTGTCACCTGCCTATGTCTGCTGAAGGTCACCATCTGTGAATGACATTAAATGTCATGGCGCCCACAGTAATGATGCAGTTGTAGCATCTAATGCATTAGTTTGAAGACCATTTCTTCCATTTTATAAAATGGATATGGAAAGCAATGCCCACTATTTCACTTCATATTCCCCCTAAAGGACTCATGCACTGAAGTACTTTTCTCATTTTGTGGTGGAAAGACACAACATATTTGAAAGTTTGTGGTGCCTCATTTTACCAGTTAATAAAAAGTATGTACTCCATCACATTTTCCTCCTACCTTTGAACATAAAAGTTTACCCTGTGTTTCTTGCTAGATAACCATGGACCATTCTTCCTCTGTTTTCTTTAGTGCTTTTGATCTTTTATTTTTATTTCATGGCCTAACTATATTTTATTTTAGGTCTTCTCAAACAGATTCTGGAAATAAGCAGTGTAAGTATATGAGAAACAGTTTGTGCATTAGAGCTTGATTTTTCTTCTGCCCCAGAGCTTGATAGTTTAGGATGGTCTACCCAAAGGTGACATGAAAAATGGGAGAAGATGTTTGCTAATCCCACTCCGTGATAGAGACACAAAACACGTGATATTCAAACACACTGAGACTCCACAGAATAAGGTGAATCTTCCATTCCCAACATCATCCCTCACAAAACAGGGGTTGCCTTATGTTTCAGTCTGGGGCAACCTCTCATATTAAAAGAGCTTCTTCCAATATTCTACTTTGATGAAACAGTACTACTTGGCAAGATATCAGCCTGAAATAAACTCAATTTCTGCTAGTTTTAGAGATAACACTGGTAAAAGACAATAAAGAAGTTTACTATTAGGTTTGGTAAATAGTACTTGGAACTAAAGTCTCTATACTTTATGCTTACATTGCATAAATATATGACTGCATAAATGAAATAAGTAGTTTTCTTTTATTTCATAAATAGGCAATTGTCTCTTCCAATAAAATATCCAGTGACATCATCATAAGGAGATCCCAAAACAGACACTCCAATCCTGTGATGACTCAGAAATTTGCTCTGGAGTAGATGCATGTGGAGGCCCTGAACAAAATTTTTGATGAAATGTGAGGGCACAAAAAACAGATCTCTCAACTCATATTATAAAAAAAAGATATACTTTTTAATTTGTGGGTATAACCCAATAAAGGTATAAAATATTATAAATGAATATTTCATTTTGCATCTATGTCATTGTAAGTTTGTATGATCGAGTTGCAAATCCCCCCCTCTTTTTACATCCAAGTATTTGTACTGAAAAATTAAAGATCATCTTATACTCAGGTTGGCAATATTTGAAGTAATGCTTATTACATTCTAATCATTTTTACAATGATTTGAACGGTGAGTCTTAGAAATTAAAAGTATTCTGGAAATCTGACCATTTGTTTTAAGTGTCCTATAGACTAGATTGTAACTAATACATTTTTTTCTGTACTCCTGATTCTATGCAGAACTGCAGTGGGTGGTAATTGGAATTCTGAAGAATTGGCTTTTTTCTTATTACTGACCATGTCCCAACCTATACGGAGCTAATTCCATATTTAATTTCATTTAGTTCTAACCACATCCACTTGAAATAGTTGTTACGTTGACAGAACGAATGAATGGAAATATAGCAAATGTTAACAGTAATAAGTGTTGCTATGAGATTTCAATTTTTTCTTTATTTTTTCTCTTTTCCAATTTTTTTCATTTGAGACATGTATTCTTTTTATACTTTTAAGAAAGCAATGACCAGTGAAACAAAAGTTATTGGTTGAAGGATAATTATACACAACATGACAGATTCAGATTCAAAGTTCACATTTTTGTCTGCACCACTCTCTCCTAAAAACATATTTTTAGGACCTCATGAATTATAACTGTGTCACTATTTTTTAATTGGATTGATGCAATTACACCGAGTAGATAGTCAGTTGGAAAAAAGCGGACCGGAAATTTCTTTTTCAGTTTATGAATTTATTCATGCCTGTGATCAAAACCACTAAGGAAACCATAATATATCATTCTTTCTTCATTTTTCCAATGCTTTTACCAGCATTGTGAAAATTCTTTGAAAACTTTTTTGACTAGATGCTGCAGGCTCAAAAAATCCCTGTGAGATGTTCTCCCTCATCCAGGAAAAAAATTCCTCTCTAAGGCTAATGAAGAATGAATACATTTACTAGCCTGAATTTAGAAAGAAACAAACCCAGCGTATGACACTCCTGATTATGTCTGCACAGGTAAATGTGTTGGTACCGGATAAGAATCACCTTCCGACAAAATGACAAGTTTATCAAGTTTTTGCTCATTCTTTCCTACTGGTTATTTTGGAATCAAATAAGCAATACAAATATCCTTACACATATTCAGCACAGAAATCCCACAGGGACCTAACATCCCCACCCCTCAGGGACCCCCAGTTGCTCTAGCAAGTTAGCTCCTTGTCAATGTCGCCCACGCAAGCTCAGGCGGCAACTACCCCCAAGGACTGGGACACAGTCACCTACCTCTCCAAGGATCCTGCTGCCATTTGTGACCAAACTGGGGGTGAATCCGAGAATGCTGAGCTGGCACCAGAACCTAGCCTGCTGCCCCTGCACCGCCCGCCTCCCCTCCCTATGTTATACGGAAGAATGAAAGAATATTTACCTGTAATCCAGATCTGAGGTTTGGGAGGAGGATTTTTTTTTTGGTAGATCCCCCATCCATAATAGCCCACTGTCTGAAAACCTTTTACAGAAATCTCCCTTTGTGCCTCTTTTAAAATCTCGCCTATATTTTTTACTATTTAAACACATAAAAATTGGTCCTGCTAATATTAACAAAGATGAATCACAAGCAAAATCACATTAGATATGAACCCAGCAAGAATGGATGGACTGACCCCTCTCTGTCTTTCCATCTTATTCATCCACCACAGAGAATATGATTTTACCTTTTCTCAACATTTTGCTGAGTCTTCTAAATCTCTTTTCATAAGGTTTTCATGTATCAGATCAGCTCTTTTCCTAGAGTGTAATTTACAGGTACTACCTCTATAATTTTCAAAGAGGAACAAAAATAGAAATAATATATTTGAATATATAATGAATGAATGTTCAATTTTTTAACACGTTGGTTTTCTTGTTTGTGTGTTTCTATGTATTGAGGGGTAGGGACCTGGTTTGACTGTAAAGCAGTTCTTTCCAGAATCCCATTCCCACGATAGTAGCCAGATGAACTGTTACAGAGTCTGAAATCTTAATTATGGTCACTTAACTAATTTGTTGCTGAAAGACTGTTCCTTTGAACTTGAAATTACCCTAAGAGTTTCCAGGGCACTGATGTAAAGTCCTGAGCTGCTCATCAGAGGATCCTGTCTGGTCTGGTCTTTCTGCCGCTGTCCCGGCCTGAGCGGAAAGACAGCTGTGGGTCATGCAGCCGAGTCCTGCATGTAGGCCACCTGCTCCAGCTGTCCTGCCCGAGTCAGCATTTCCGGCGCACTTGATGCCGATGCGGAAAGAAGACTGAATGCGATGGTGTGGAAAGGACTTGTCATTTTATAGCAATACCCTAAGAATCACATTTTGAAAATCTAATGAACGTGTATTCAACATGACTTACTGGATCTTTGGTGGGGGCTGGGGGGTGGGGCGGGGAAGAGAGGCAATTTTAGAACCATGATAGAAGCAGAAACATTGTTTTCTGTGTGAAGAGTAATACAAATTATGAGCTACTACTAGTTAAGCGCTTGACTAAAGAGTCAATTTATGAGGTCAGGCTCAGAAGAGTAAATAATCAGAAATAAAAATACAGCTTGCTGTTTCTAATAGCACGTAACGGTCTAAACCATGCTCTTCAGCATGGACAAGTGTCTATTGGGTCCCAAACTTTGCCACAGTAACTTGCCATGTGACTTTAGGCAAATAACAACTTCTTTGAGCTTCAAGTCCTTCATCTGTGAAACTGGAATAAGGACCTCCTGTATAGGACTGCTGAGGACTGAGATAAGGCACTGAAACCAGTCAGTGTGGTTATCTGGCTCTCAATAAATATTAGCTAATATGATTATTCTCTTTAATGGGATAATTTTTGGCTCGTCTATCCCAATTTTCCACTAAATGACACATGTGGATTTTATAAGCAATAAGTATTACATAAAATAAGAAAGGAAAAGAACTGATGAACCCAAGACAGTCTGTATCTCTGTCAGCCACAGGCTAAAAAACTTGGGGCCCAGTCAAGCCACAATCTAGAATGCTTATCCACTAGGCTACCAGCTTTTTGAGTGTTGGGACCGTGTCGGGAGCCCCTTTGACCTCAAGCATCCAGCATAGACACTGTCTTCAGTGAATGTTTGCTGAGGCAATGTAAACAAACAAGGATATAAACCATGCAGACAGACTTCTGATGGACTCTGGAGCTGAAGTGGTTTACTGAGCTCACAAATGCCTTTAAACTGGATCATCTCTAGGCAATATCACAAGAGTCACAATGGGACAAATTTTGACTAGTCGCAGCCTACTTCCTCAGAAGCTAGAGTATTAAGATGAAGTGGCATTATTGATGTTCTACAGTCGTTTACTGTAGAAGTGAAATTGTTTGCACTTGGTTAAAGATGAGATCAAAAGCAATCATATAGGTTTTCCAGGTTATTAGAGAAAGGGGCACTCTTAATACTAGAAATACTTAAAGTGTTTCTCACTTAAAAGACCATCTACAAGAGAAACAGCACGAACCAATAACTTACAACAATGGTTCACAGACACGGTCCTACAGATGTTTGAATTTCAAATATGAGTCTATTATTTTCTGTGTGTGTTTCCTAAAAGTAGAATTTCAATCCGCCTCCAACTGGTTAAGTGAATAAACCATTTTCAAAGTGGTTTTGTTTCCATACAAAGTGATCTGGAGCTGGAATACTGCTGTCCATATGCTGGGATGATCCCATATTGTTTTCTTCTGAAAAGCATCAATAAGTTTTTCATTCACAAGATCAAAATAGAACAAAGTTACTTACCAGTGGGAGTTACTATGAGCTTACTTCATTCTACAAATATCTTGATCCAGCCTGGTTAGACGTTCTACAAAACTTTCAGCTAAGCTTCACGGCACGACCAGCTTAAAAACTTTGTCCTGGCAATTTGATCTTCTGAGTTCTCTTGGAAGCCCTTGAATTATAGTCTTCATGGCATATGATATTTTATGTTTTCCTTAGATTAATTTAGAAAAATATCTGTTTTCCATGGAAGTAGTAATCACAGAAAAATGCTGATGGAAAATGGAAATGATAAGAGAAAAAAAAAGGAAAGAAGGAAGGAAGGAAAGCCAGAAAGACAGACAGGAAAAGAAGGAAGGAAAAGAAAGAAAGAAAAAGAAAGAAAGAAAGAAAGAAAGAAAGAAAGAAAGAAAGAAAGGAGACAGGGAGGAAGAAAGAAGAGAGAAAGAAGAAAAGAAAAAAAGAAGAAGAGATCAGGGCCAAGTGGTCAACCAATGACTTTTCTAAATTACCAGGAAAAGTGTTCAGAGAATTAAGAGGTTTTGATTTCCAGGTGTTCAAGTGTGTGAAACCGCTCAGAGACCACATCAAAGGAAAAGCCCTTCTGTTCTCACAACCACCAGGTCTGCTCCGTTGCAATTTGGGATTGTATTTCTGAAAGAGGATACACTTCAGTAACTGAAAATGCAAACATGCCAACAGACATATACTTGAGAAATGTGAACGATGGTCTCCATGTTTTAGCAGCCACTTTTACTATTTACAACATGAGTCTTTACCAGGCAATGCAAAATGAGAAAATAATTTCTGAGATGACACTATTTTCCTGTAGTAAAAGAAGAAACTTGTAGAATTCTATCTCTCATGGAAAAAATAGCTCCTTATTAAAACAAAGGCGCCTGGGTGGCTCAGTCGGTTAAACGCCTGACTTCAGCTCAGGTTATGATCTCGAGGTTTGTGAATTCAAGCCCCACATCGGGCTGCACACTGACAGTGCAGAGCCTGCTTGGGATTCTCTCTCTATCTCTCTTTCTCTCTCTCTCTCCCTCTGCCCCTTCCCCACTTGTGCTTTCTCTCTCTTTCTCAAAATAAAGAAATAAACTTAAGAAATACAATCTATTACGAAAACAAACCCAGTTCTCTGACATGTTGAAAGAAGAAGCATCTTGGAGGCTGTTCTACGATATTTACATATGCACACGTAGCCCCACCTCTGTGGTTAACGGGCTTTGGGTAAGCTTTTGCCATCTCTGGGCTCCCGTCTCTCCATTGGTTGTGCAGGCATTGGGCTCTGTATGTCCAAGGGCCCTTCCTGTTCCAACAGCTTATGACCCTGTGATTAAGAGCAGGTTGCTCAAGTGAGAAAGGAGTTGAGGGTTAGTAATGGAGAAGGTTTTCGTACAGGTTCCTTCTGCCTTTGTGACATCGTGGGATCCCAGCAGGGATAATAGCAGGAGGCTTCATCAGGCCTGAAGACTTACTGATTATCAGGTAGAAGACTCCTTTGTCTGTGTCCAAGTTGGAAATACGTAGTCTTCCACGTAATAGTGGCTGAGCCACATAGGATTTATTTCAGGAGCTCCCCTTATTTTAGGGGGTAGCAATGCACAATGATCTTCTCAAGGGAAGCTCCAGACAGCTTCCAACATATGTGCAATATCTGATATTGCATTAAGGAGAGTTGATCCTGAGGGATTCTCATCTTGGTGTCTCCATTTGAAAAGCAAGGGAGTGGAATCAGAGGCACGTGAGAAAGTTAGCAGTGAAAGTTTCATAAAAACAGTGAAAACGCAAGAAAGGACGATAGTCAACCTACAAATGAAGTGAAAGACACGTGTAAATCCATGAGATGGCATTGCCAGATTTTTCTCCAAGAGTGGGGCATGAATCAGGACTGAGGAGGCAAGGATGTGGGAGGCAAGGTTGGCTTTAGAAGCAAGGAAAGATCTTCTCAGTAAGATCCTTCTCACTGTTATTTTATTATGTTCCCAGTATAAAGAACGATCAGATCCCAGAACCTCACTAAAGCACCCATGTTATAATAATTCAATGTTATCCTCTACATGGAAACAATAAACTCAAAATTTTCCTCTAAGTTTTGCTTCAAACACAACTATCCTTGAACTCTTTTTCACTCGCTGAGTTATAGATTTTTCGCTGTATTTGTGAGATCGTGTGAGCCATATGGTTATCATGAGAAATGGAAGAAAAGTCTTGTTACTGTACAATAACAACTGAGATAATAACCCCACAACTTTATGCAAAATTTTGTACATTTTCTAGATCAGTGGTTTGTAGAATGTTAACAAAGCTTGGTGAAATTTTTTTAAATGTTTATTTTCTTGAGAGTTGGGGGGATAGATAATGAACTGGGTAAGGGCAGAGGGAGAGGGGAACGGAGAATCTGAAGACGGCTCTGTGCTTGCAGTAGAGAGCGCGAAGAAAGGCTCCATCTTGTGATCCCTGAGATCATGACCTGAGCCAAAGTCAGACGCTTAAGCGACTGAGCCACCCAGACGTCCCAAACTTGGTGAAATCTAACAATTACTATAGTTATTGCTTTAGATGCCATGACGCTACTATAGTCTGCTGTGAATGAAGAACAATCTTGGAGGAAATACATATTTTGGTTTATTACCCTTGACTCTTTTCCTATGCACAATTGTTAGTTGTTTTTAGAATTAGAGCAACACTTTACTGTTGTTTGGAGGATGATGTCAGATGTGACTTTTATTTATTTTTTTTTAACTTTTTTAAAGTTTTTTTCTTTTTTAATGTTTATTTATTTTTGACAGAGAGAGACAGAGCATGAGCGGGGGAGGGGCAGAGAGAGAGGGAGACACAGAATTTGAAGCAGGCTCCAGGCCCTGAGCTCTCAGCACAGAGCCTGATGCGGGGCTCGAACTCACGAACTGCGAGATCATGACCTGAGCTGAAGTTGGACACTCAACCGATTGAGATACCCAGGCACCCCAAGATGTGACTTTTAAAGAGTCCCTGAGCTCCTGTGTTTGCTGAGATGGCTCAGGGAAGCCATTCAGTTGTAATGGGAACTGACACTGTGATATGCTGACCCTGTGCTCGCACTGTCCTGTGTGGAACCTCCTTCGGTCCCCAGCAACCCTATGAGAAAGATCTAGTAACGTTCCTGGATCGTGCTGTCAGTTAAGTGGCTGAGCAGGAATTCAAATCCAGGTTTTCATCACTCCAAAGGCCTTATGGGGGCCCCTGGGTGGCTCAGTTGGTTAAGCATCTGACTTCAGCTCAGGTCATGATCTCGAGGTTCATGAGTTCGAGCCCCGCATCAGGCTCTGTGCTGACAGCTAGGAGCCTGGAGTGTGCTTTGGGTCCTGTGTCTCCTTCTCTCTCTGTCCTTCCCCTGCTCATGCTCTGTCTCTGTCTCTGTCTCTCTCTCTCTCTCTCTCTCATTCTCAAACAAACAAACAAAGAAAACAACAAAGGCCTTGTGGTTTTCATCATTCTCCTATTCATTCATTCATTCATTCATTCATTATTCATTCAAAGCCAGCAAACCATTTTGCACATTGGATATGGCTTCCTCCCCAGGAAGCTTCTCATAGATGGAGAAGTGGAAAATTCAGGACACTTATGAAAGCCATTCAGTCCCCAACAGTGATAAGAATCGAGTGACCTAACTGAAAGAAACATCACAGATTGCGTCCTTGGGCTCCTAGCGCAGACCTTGCTGAGGACACAGATGCAGGAGACAAGTCCTGTATAGACAGTGGCCAGGTCCTTGGGAGCTAGAAAGGCGTGGGTATATGTTTTCAGGGGTGTGGCATAGTGGGAGGGCTTCTGTTCAGTGTCAGTGGCGCATTTCCATACAGTGGATCCCAGCAGGTGCAGTCATACAGCCCAGCACCTGCCTCATTAACTCCGTGTATCCTCAGGCTCGCTGGCAAATCCCTCTGTCCTTTCCTGGTTTCATTTCCTTTCTTCACTAACACTTTGTCTGTGGTCACATATGCATTTGAAGAAATACATAGAATTTGGTTTAGAGGCTGGTCTGGCCTCTGTCAATAAGAGTATATATTTACATTCTTCCTTAAGACACCTGTTTTTATTTGCCATACTAAAAATGCTGTGTTTCCTTTTTTCTTGGTAATGGATGGTACGCGTCGTGTTATTAAAATGTCTGCATTTGTATCTGAAAAAAAACCCCAAAAGCAACAATTAGTGAAATTTTGACACTCATTAAAATAGTACACAATTGTTCTCCATTAATGAAAAGCTTGGGGTGTGAGGTTCATACTTTCTTCCTGAAGAATTCAAGCTCATGGTGGAATTTGTCAACTTAGTTTGAATGACCATGTGGGCAGCCTCTGCCCACATGGGCGACTAGATTGTCGATGCTTAATATCACCTTTCTTCACTGAATGAAATGTCCCGTGGGCAGAGCCACTCACAGCTGCCAAGGGAGGCCACCAGGACCAGCCAGGACAGGAGCCACATTCTGCCAGCACTTGTCAGGAGAGGTGGTTGAATACGGGGCTGATCACAGCACAGATCTGGTGGCTGTTGCCGTAAGAGGAAGGGGCGCTCTGAGCACACAGCTAAGAACCAGAGGAAGAGACCCACAGTATTTACCCCAAATCATCCTGCAAAATAGGGCTGGTAACTCACTTCATCAGCAGATTTCTCTCATTACTGTGTGATTGTCACTATCCAATGATATAACTGTAAGGAAGCCATTTTCCTGTTAAAAGACTGAAATCCTTTACTGGTTTAGAACAGAGAGGGAGGGGCACCTGGGTGGCTCAGTGGGTTAAGCGTCTGACTTTGGCTCAGGTCATGATTTGACAGTTCGTGAGTTCGAGCCCCGCATCGGGTTCTGTGCTGACAGCTCAGAGCCTGGAGCCCGCTTTGGATTCTGTCTCCCTCTTTCTCTCTGCCCCTCCCCCACTCATGTTTTCTCTCTCTCTCTCTCTCTCTCTCAAAAATAAATAAAACATTAAAAAATATAGTAATTTGCAGCAGAAGATACATGTCTGGATGCAGCAGAGGATCTATGTCTGGAACCCATGTTCTTAAGTAGGATACTTTTTCTCTTCCATTTAAACTTATTATAACATAGTATGTATGTGTAACATACATGTTACATACCACTCTGTAATAATAATGTGCCTACATGTATGTGCACACAGGTATGTACGTGTCTGTGTGTATGTATGTCTCTCAAGGGTCTAGAATGCACGGTTGAAGATTCATCACAGGAAGTACCCTGAATGTGCTTGCTCAGTACTGCTCCCTAAGATTCATCTATTCACACATCCGTTCAGCGAGTGGGTACCGAGGCTGCATTACTGACCAGGCACGCGCAGACCCTGGCGAGGTCACAGAACCACACACAAGGGTGCTCCTCCGGGCACTTGTATCCCAGCAGCACCAGCCTCCGTCTGCCTTCGTGTGGCGCAGCAGCTGGCCTTCGAGTCCCGTCTGGGACCGCAGTCGCCTGCCCTTCCTCCATCCCAGTCCCCTCGTCATGCGGCCTGTGTCACCCAGACTCCCTGGAAACCTCAGGACGAATTGCTGAGGGTCCCTGACGCACTCGGCTGTTCTCCACAAGTCCAGACAGCGGCTGTCATCAGGAGGTGATCCGGTCAAAGGGAAGCTGGCGCAGGAGGCTGCCATCCTGCAGGTGCACCTGGTGGCCGTCTGCTTCTTTTCCTCTTGATTCTAGAACTGAGGTACCTGTCAGGGAGCACGGGGCGGGGCTGAGGCTGAGGCTGGGACAGGGGCTGAGGTTGCCCATGTGCAAAAGGACCAGAACTGAAGAGAGGACTTGGGGCCAACTTCCTGGCTCCTCTCATACTTTGTACCCATTTGTCCGTGGCTCCATCTACTCTGTTCTGTGGACTTTGTAAAAAAGAATCGCAGTGGAGGAGACAGGGTGTCTCAGTGCTGCCAGTTTATTGTTCTCATCTAACTCCTCTCAGCCAGTGTTACAAGAGGCCAAGTTTTATCAGATGCTCCAGAACCTGGTTCATTTTTGTTGGTACCGATATGGCTAAGGTGGCGGATGCATGCTGAGTACTGCACGTAAATGTGTTTATCCTTTGTTCCTCCTGTGGATAGAGATACTTCTGGTTGTCATGTTGGCTACTAACCAGAGAGACAGAGACAGGGAGACAGAGAGACAGAGAGAGAGAGCACATAAAACATACTTTTCCTCAAAATATCCAGAGGAGGCATTAAGTAATTTCTTAAGGTTCTCACATAATCTGAACAGATATAGGAATGAACTCATTCACTCAGAGGAAAGTGACAGGTGGTTGCTGGTAAGCGGCCATGTGTCTACCCAGGCTTTGCCTCAAAGCACAAGGTGGAACCTGAGAACCCTGATGGCCAGAAGCTCAGATCAGCGTAAGGTGTGTGACAGCTGGTGTCAGAGAAGGAAATTGTGGGTCAAACCTAGGCCACCTTGCAATGCAATTTCTGAGGTTTCTGATCTGTCTGGAGAATATTCGTCGGGTTGTGGCGACAACATCCCATCGGTCCATTTCCAGACAGTTAGGTAGACAGGAGTCAGTGTAAACACACCTAGATGATAAAGACAGAGACTTGGCTATGTAGATAGTGATGGAGACAGAGACAGAGACAGAGACGGGGACAGAGACAGAGATGGAGACAGAGACAGAGATGGAGACAGAGACAG